TACCAACGTTAATATGAAAATGTTAGAATGAGCATGACGTTAACGTTAAAAGTGTCTGGTTTACACGTTAACATTTAAGCTTTGCGCAAAAACCCTTGTTCTTTTTCCTTCTGAAAATGCGCGGATTGCGATAATTGGCTTTCGGTAAAGTAGGCGCATTTGAATATCTAAAAAAAAACGCGTTGTGTACCGTTTTCCCTAGTACGTTAAACTTCTTTTTTTAAGTGAGGGAAGCTGACACACATTGTTAATGCGCATAGATAAAGTTCCGTCTTATGCGATTCCCCTTCGGCATGAAAAATGAATTAAACATATTATAGTTATCTTCAGGGGGACTTGACAAAGGCGCCCCGAATTAAGGTTTAGTTAAATCCAACAAACTATCTCATTTTGACAGCCGGCCCCGACAACAAAAGCACGTTCCCATTGGGAAGTTTTAGGACAAAAAGGAAACTATTTTTTTTTTGAGAGGTTGCTGACAATCGTGGTGTGCTCATTTGCGAGCAGAGTGCCCATTCCTAAGGTTAGTCGTATGTGCGACGTGGAAGCACTGCAGATGATTTCGACTCAAGGATGCTATAACATATTATTGTAGGAATAGCCAGCGGTCAGGATTTTTAATGCTTTCAGTTAGTCGTGCGCTGGCCGTACAGTTAATAAAACAAAACACGTCTTCTCTGACAGTGCAAATTGACAAAAAGAAAAAAAGAAGTTTCTGAGAGTGGGCGCACGTTGATTTTATATTTTCTAATCTGGCTGTTTCAGGGGAATGCATATTTTGTTACGTCGAGTGGTGTCAGCTCATGTTGGGGAGAAGAAAGAAAACAATTAAAATATGTGCGAACATAATTAATATTATGTACACATTTTCAACAGCTGTATGCAGTATTGTGGAATGTGCGAGTGCAGGGCCATGGCCTTAATTTATGTTTCTTTTTTTCTTGGTGCATTGCCAGAACTTTTGAGAGCTGTACTCTCGCGCCTGTATAACGTTGCATACAACATGGGGGACGAAGTTTTTTAAAAGTTCGGCGGATATACCGAGTGGAAAAATGTAAAAAAGATAGAAAAAGTAAAGTATCTAGTTAGTAATGTTTTTATACAAACTAGACTGCACGAATATATATATAAAATATATATACTATTACTATGTTGCTTGAGCTTTCCTGGGTTGTTAGAATACATTGAAGAAGGCTATATACTATAACAAAATGAAGACGCATTACATCTCCATAAACGGCTATGTGTACTTCTGGTATGTTATTTAACACTACATTTATACTCATTTAAATGTACAACAAATAGCACTGCTGAACTCAGACGCGAACCTATATTTCAGGGGACTAATAAAAGAAAACAAAAATGTAAGTGTTATTTAAAACAAGAATTTAGCATAATTATCTAGCTCTTTTGTATTTAAACGAGAAAGACAATGAGTGACAACACATAAGAGAAAATAAAAACCCCTTGAATATGAGAGGATACAAAAAGAATGTTATTCTTTCGTGTAAAAATGAAGCGTTTATTGGCTCTTTTTGCATAAACACACCGTTTTAATTGCGATCAAGTTAGTGGTGGGTCAATCAACTTTACTTAAAAATTAATATACAATTTGTCGAATAGTGCAGCACTGTGAATAATGATTGGCCAAATAAAGTACGATAATGATTAATATTTTTTTTTAATCGAATACGGTGATGTATAAAACTCTCATACATAAAACAACGATGAAGGTGTGTATGAAGCATATAATCTGGGATTGGATCGTACTTCTGTCGAAAATCGCAGTTTCGGCGTGATCGCGGTTCTAGGGGAGGAGTGTGTGTGTGTGTGTCGGGGGGGGGGGGGGGGGGGGCGGTTGCACTACTCGCGAAAGACAGCCTTGCATGTATGTAAATTGAGCACGGCTATTGTTGCGAAATGGTTTGGGTTTCTCTTCGTTATGGCTGCCAGTCATCGCGTATAGGATGTCTGTACAGTAGTCCTCAAGCAAGTACTGTTTTCTCGCAGTTTATCGAGTTTTCTTCTAGCCCAATTTAAACGTTTTTTTACGTGGGGTATTTACCGACGACTTTAACTTTCCAGATATTGACTGGCACGAGGTTATTCCAAAGGGCAGCTGCGAGCACTCGATGCTGCTTTTTACCATAGCTTGTAGCAATAATTTGAGGAAAGTAGTAAAAAGCCCTACGTGCAGGTGCAATGAGAGCGAATATTTACTCAATCTCGTGCCTATGTCTGAGGCCTTAGTCAAAAAAAAATATTGTTGACGTATTATGCGAGGAGGGTATATAGTATAATCCAACAGTTTTCTGTGACTTACCACCACTTCAAAGAACGCGTAGTGAAAATCAGCTAAAACAGTTTATTGATTTCACTCGGGCAAATGACGTCGACATTCTCGATTTGCTAAGTGAAGCATTTGAAGAGAAACGAAACAAACGGCGATTGTGTCGATACGTTATGGTTATTTTTTAAGCATGTTGTCCTGGCGTGCGTCGAAAGGTTGGTTCCCGAGCGTACAACAGAAATAAACATGCAAACTCAATGGGTGACGCACGATATTTCGCCTTTTAAACCCAAGATACACAGCATAAAAAGATACCAGCCATGTTTAAAGGGTACGCTTCCTTCCTTTCACCAACATGTATGTACAGATACTCGTACGGACATCTAGATATTGGAGTTTTTTATGTCACCTTCTCAAGTTTTTTCAAGGAAAACTCAAGGAAATTCTATGCGGATTTAAACATAAAACGTCAAGCAATAAAAAGGCCCCTGAAAACAATAAACCATGTTTTTTTTAACAGGCTGGTTGGGACACGTGTGGCGTAAAAATAATATTAAGCGAAAAAAAAATGTAGCGCAATATTGAGGGCCCGAGATTTATTTTAAATTCTGTGCGCAGATTCCAAGACGTCACGGAATGTCCATATATTGTTTCCACCTCATCGGCATGGTCCTACGCTCCCCCCACCGCAACGTGATGGCCAAGCCGATCCACCTCTCCTCCACGCGCCCGAAATGCGGAGGGAGAAAAAAAGTGGAAAGGAGGTGACTACCGACTAAATCCCTTCTCGCGCGGTCAATATTGCTCTAAAAATATGTTTCCGCGTAAAATTAATTTTTTTGACACGCGGGTCCCAACCAGACTGTTAATTTTTTTTTTTCTTTTCAGAGGCCGTTTGAGGAACCCAATCACGATGGGCGCGCGCTGAACGATAAACCGAGTATCGCAAGCTAAATTAACCGCTTTTTGTTTTCGGTGTACACTGTTGACACACACTGTGGCAAATTTGTAATTTGGTGGTGACTGTAGATGGTATGTTTGAGAGTTTACGTCGACTATAGATGCTAAAAAGTCATGAGGACCAGATAGAATTCCTAACACGTTTTTACAAAGGAATGTGGAATGGTGCTCAAAGCTTCATTACGAGATATACTCTTGTAGTTTAAGAACTGGCAAAGCGCCACAAGATTGAAAAGTGGCCAAGGTAGTAGTAGTGCTTATACATTAGAGCGGCGATAAAAAGACTGTTTTTAACCACAGACCTGTGTCGCTCCTGAGTACCTACGAAAGGTTCTTGAGCATTTTATTTTTAAACACTTCGTAGCTTTTTTGGAATCTGAATTTTAGCTAAAAGACCAGCATGGTTTCCGACGCGGGTATTTAACAGTGAAACGGCTTCTTCACATATTTATATTTATAACGCTTACGACAGAAAAACGTCCATGTCATCCTTGTAGGCCATATCCTAATTACCACAGTTATCACGTCGAAGGAAAGTTAAGCGCTTGAAGTTGAATTATAATCTAATACACAATAAGATTGGGTTAGGTTTCAACGACTATCTGAAATACGACAGCCGTGACACAAGGTGGAAACATACCATTTTGCTTGCGAGTTCCGATGTAAAAAATATACTTTTAAAGATTCTTTTTTTTCCCTAGAACTGTCCGTGATTGGAATGACTTGCCTCAAAGTGTGACAAGCCTTGCACATATGATTGTTTCGCTAGAGCTTTACATGATTCTGTATATAAGTAAACATTCACGAAATAGTCGATATTTTTGTAAAATTTAGTATGTGAAATTTCGTATTGTATATTTTTACAAGGTCTGCCCCGCAACCGTACAAGCAACCAGGAGTGGGCCGGCAATATTACTGCAATAAATAAATAAATATATAAATAAGCGCTCAAATTTATAATTTAGACATGTGTATACATTCTAAATTATGACCCGAGTTATCAGTAAAAGATGTTGAAACATAATGTGCCGAACGTGTTTTATACTTGTGACACAATGCCACTACTTGCTAGGAGAAATTTTTATAAAAGCTTCCGAATATTCAGTTTACATAAATATTTCGCCCACAGTTCAACTCTCTGGCAATTTTATTGCTTGCCCACGTGTTACCGGTGCCTGCTATTCAGCATAGTTTTATGCAAGACTGAAAAAGGTAAACACACAATATTCAAGATGTTGAATGGTCATTTATATTCTTTAGTGGGTGAATAGATAATGTTGAGACCTTCAACTCCTGGCCGGGACTTTTCGTTGAAATAAAAGCCCATCCACCAAAAACAAAAGTTCATTCGAACAAGTGAATTAGGCTGACTCAACATGGGGATGAGTTCCGGAACAGTGGAAGTATGGATATCATTGTAAGCCTTGCTCATCGACGTGGCAAGGCCGCAATTAATATCAAGGTACAGAAACCTACTCAAATAATACAAAAAAAAGTTGTACAGTCCTCTCGATGAGATTGCTCTAGTCCAAGCACGAGGTCTACTTCGTAGAATTCGGATAGCAGGTCAAACCGGTAGAAAACTTTCTCGCGCCTTTCAGTATGCACATGCATGCACAACGTCGAGGGGACACCGTACTAAGATCATGAGAAAGTTAAAAAAAAAAAAAGAATCTCGCCTAGCATGTTTTCTTTAAGTGCGTAACTCAAAACTCTAAGCGAATTAATTTGAAAAAATACTATAGCCACACAAATTTTCATCTTTTAAAACGGAATCACTTCTGTATCTGCTGCCTTCTTCAGTTCCTTGGCGAGGTCATGCTGAGAGTTCTTCATAATATTAATGATCTCGTGTCGGTACCCGAGACGGATGCTGTTGTACTTTGCCTCTTCCCCCAGGTTTACGACGTTGATCTCGGGCACTGAGAGCTTTAGCTTGGCGGTAACGTTGATTTCCTTCCAAGGCTCAGCGGCGATGGTCATGGCAATTTTTGAATTCGGGAAGAGGCCGCTAGCGCGAATTCCTCTGGGCGGGTACGTGGAGTGCTTCAGACTGCCGCTGATGTCCACCTTGAGTTCCTTGGCCGTCAGGTTGCAGTGGATCACAATGCGCGTGACGGTGGGCTCTTCGAGAAACTTGCAGTCGTCGTCACGTTGTAGGTGCTCATAGCCCGTGATGGCTATGTCTCCGAAGTAGGCCCATATCTCGGGCCTTCCCATTACCGTCTTGTTGAAGCTGTCTGTGGGCCGGTAGGGCTTGAGTATCTGCCTGGAGAGCTCGCTAAGGACGATGTCTACGTAGTCGTTTATGTCTTCGACTGACGTGCTTAGGACACCTGGTGGATGAAACGGCAAGCGGTCGAGAGTTGCACCCTCACATCGCTCCAAGTTCTGAGTTCACCCTTTTAAAAGAAAGCAGAAACATATATACGAGGCATAGCTTCGCGGGCAGTGCCCCTTTGAGTTTCCAGGAGCTCGCGAATTTCGCGCTTATTGCGAATTGGGCGGTAGACAATGTTGTTCATGTGCCAAAGCTATTAATTTGCAAATGCCATTCGGGTCATACCATACGAATATTATCATATATCATCGACCGTTTTATTTTAATGAGCACAATGCGAACGCAATGCAAATTATTTAATTGTAAGTAGATTTTTACTGACAGCCTGATGGTAAAAGTAAGCTTGAGTTTACAATAAACTGTTTTAAACAAAGATGAAAGCATATAAGATTGATTTGCTCGTCTCGTCGCTCCACACTGTTCAAGCTAGATTCAAAAACAAGAAAAGTAACAATTAAAAAAAATGGAACGTGAACATTCGACCTAGATCAGTCTGGTTGGTTGGAATATAGTTAAATAAACAAAACAAAAAAGAGGGGGGACGTCCAACCAAGCGTTAATTGGAACCCTACATTGAAACCGACCACCGAAAAATACTTTGTTTGGAATCGTGAAACATCCAAGCTACGTCAGAAAACATAAATAAAGCTTTCAGGGCTTTACCATTCACTTACGTCTACAGGCTTTAAGACAACTAAGAAAGAAATGCACCACAATAACAGAATACGAAAACAATAACGCTGCTCTTTAACGGCGATCGCCACAGGGACCCTTGAAGAAGAGCTCAGTCGGCATATAAACTTAGGGTTCCCGATTATGGCTTAGTTGGACGTCCCTTTTTAAAAAAATAAAAAAATAAAGCTGCTACATCATGGCAAGGTGCAACTTCAATCAACACCTCCAGCCCTAGCTATATCTCAAACTGTCAACAAATGTCAGTAAAACGTGATCTGAAAGGTCCCAAGTAGCACGGGCGTACCAACCGGGGGTCAAAGGGTGCGCTTGCCCCCCCAGTTCTTAGAGTGTGTGTGTGGGGGGGGGGGGGGGGGGGGGGGGTAAGGCATGGTGTTTGCGCCCCTTCCCCCGAAACAGCCGCCACTGGGCAGGGCAAACACTAGTCGGCGGCGCCCAAGGGATACCAAGGGCACCGCGCCCCGGCCCGGGGGGGGAGGGGGGGGGGTTTGATTCCCCCCATCCCCAACCCTCAAAAACATGTCGGTACGCCACTGCCAAGTGGCACAAGAGGTGGGGCGCACGTGGGCCCCAAGTGGGCCCCACGTGGGCCCCACGTAGGCCCCATGTGAGCCCCACACTTCGCGCTACTTGGGGTGTGTAGATAAATACTGCTATGCATCTTGCTTTCGGCTAAATTAGCTACTGGATAAATTCGAAAAATAATTCACTCACCGGCAATGATGGCACAGATGAGAACAGGAAAAAGCATCTTCTGGAAAACAAATTTCAGCTTTGAACAGTCTTACTGTCTATATTATTTCGCACCGATAAAGCTTTCACGAGAGACATAAATATGAGAGCAAACACCACGGAATAACGCACTTGTCACTGCAAAATTGCAGCCAATACAAATCAACGTTCCTATGGCAGCAGTTTTTGCAAGCTTTTAGCTAATACAAATAAACTTGTTTTATCTAACCCTACTTCTAACAATCCATTCTTTAAAATAAATGCGTTTATACTAAAAGGCGGGTATAAGATCTAAGAATCATAAGATACACATTATGTTTGCATAATTGACCCAGGTAAAATATTTGCACATATTGAGAAACCTTCTGTCTTGTCACAAGATTTACTTGCGCGAGCTGCTTGCTTAGCTTCACACTTCAACTATAAGTTATAATTTACAAATATTTTTACAAATAACACAAAAGCACTGAGGTCTTTCGATTGTTGATTTTTTGGTGAAATGGGTATTGACATCAGTTTGTATTGTAATGCAGGCGGACAAAAGTGACCAGTGACAAGACAATTTTTAAAACATTATAAAAACTGTTGAAAGTTCATCTATATTAAGAGGCAATCCAAAACAATATTCGGTTAAGTTCTGTCTGTCTTTGTCTGAACAATAAACCACCATGTCGTACTTATGATATTAGGATGAGAATATGAAAAGGAATAATGGCTTGGTAAGGAAGTACGTTCTAGAGTCGACTTATACCCAAAAAATGATAAATATTAACTGACTACTTCAGGTTTACTTTAGGAACAATAAAATTTGTTTAATGAAGGCCAACATATTCTTATGGGGTTTCATTCGGGAAAATTTAGATTCGTACTCTCCTATTGTTAATAACCGAAACGCCGTGATCCTCAGGTCAATTAAATTATAATTACGCTCAGAGCTTTTTCATACTGATGAAAAAATCAGCTCTGTAAAACCTTGAAACAACCTCACTTAATTTATTAAAAATTAGCCTAAGTGCTCGTGCATTAATTTTTGTTTTTTTGTTTTTTAAAGAAGCAGTCCATTCCATCGCCAGTATTTAGTGTCGCAAAACTCCTGACTCTATCGCCTCGGATTCTCTTCTTACGGTAAAAAAGTTATCTTTCTAAAATTTTTGACTTTAAAATCTGCACAAATAAACACTTCCACCCTTTCTTCTTACTTAAAATTTTGTAAGCAAGTGATCAGCCCATAAACCGTACCATGCGCATTAGCTATATTCAAGAGTAGGCATGTACTGTACATAAAAAAATATCTCATCAAATATCACGACTATTAAGCAATCCCTTATCAATATTGATCGAAAGAGGGAGATAATGAAGGCTTGCGAAATGGGAAATACTAATGTTGGAGTCATAGCCAAAGGTTTGACGGTCATCATTTCTTTAGGGAAGGGGTGACAACAGCCGGATAAAAGATCGTATACACGAAATAATTTCAAAACTCGCTCACAAGTCATATTTTAATCTAATATAGATGCATTATTCGATACCCCGGTGTGCCTCGTCAGCAAGTATATTTGGCATGACGCAATTTCTGTATAGCTGCATTCTGAGATCTTTCCACTTTTAGTCCGTTTCGTTGTTTAAACTGTGATGTTTGTGGGGGTCGGGAGTTTGTTAAACGACTTCCATTCACATTTTGCTCTATTACTTTAGAAATTTAATCTATATAAAACATACTGACCTTCACAAAATAACATATCTGCAGTCGTTTAATTTTATGCATCGAGACAAAACGGACCTTCAATATGTGGGACAGATCAATCCCATGTACCTATGGCTAGGTGCCAAACACCTAATTTATCATTTTCATTTTAAACTGCAGGAAGACGACGTGCTAGTGTCCTTTCGTTTCTTTTTTATTTATTTTTTGTTGTTTTGTGTAGTCAGGCACATACGGGATACTTTGTTCTTGGCTAAAACTTTATATGAAAATGGTGGCGCGTTGTCACTATAACCCGTGAAATCGTAAGTGTCAGAGATGCGTAATTGAATCTTACGAGATAGAGGCAACTCGATGAGATTCCGGTCTTTCAATGAGGCTTGAAACTACAAACACTGCACACAGCTTTCTTTTCGCGTTATCCCACACACGCGATCGAGCGCCATAGCCGGTCGCAGAAGCGAGAGAAATCAGGTTACTTATGGCGACCAAAGTAGTCAGACGTCCTCATTAGACTGCACGTCTCGTTTTCCGATGAAACCAGCCAGATATATACCTTCGCTACCAACGAGAGTCTGTAGATCCTTTTCTTTTAAAGACTATCTTACGGCTGACCTCGATACGTCCCATCGAACCCTCCGGCTGAAGTATCCAGTCACGCTACAAGTAAACCCTAAAAATCGTTATATATAAAACCAGCAAGTGAACGTCAACGCAGTTCGGGAGTAAATTTATTAGTTTCTTTAATCTATTAATGAAGCATATAATTTAAAAGCCTAGGACGAAACGGTTTCAAGCTTAGTACTAATTCGCAATAGAACAAGGAGTTATGCATGGAACACCATGTGTGTCTCAGGAATAACGTGTGTCTTTGACTTTACTCCCTCCTCCATTCAACTTACCGTTCCGTTGGCAAATACGTGTAAAAGTTTTGCGACGATATAATCAAATTGTTTGCAATTTATTAATCACGAAGATAATGACGAGCACGAAACAAAGTAAAAATAATGTCTGGTTTCAACTGAATAATAACTTCGGTTATTTATGAAAAAATTGTTTTCAAAATCTTGTATGGAACTCAGATATGTTCTCCTATTGAAATAATACAATGAGAGTCAGACATGCTGGACTATCCACAATACTACTAATGCCATAATACAATGAGAGTCAGACATGCTGGAGTATCCACAATACTACTAATGCCAGAATTATCCCTAACGTAGTGATGCCGAAGAAACCAAACAAATGGTAGGAGATAGAAGTGAAACGCTTCAAGAGACCATGAAAAGGAAGAGCAATGAAGACAGTAGAAGAGCCTAGAGGTAACGCGATCTGTGGTTGAAAGATAAGGCATGGCTATATGCCTAACATTGCAATTAGGTTTGCCACATTCTGAATGCTTTCCGGATCGAAGTAATTTAGAGCAATATTTTTAGTCAAGGAAAAACCAAGAATGTGCCAGAAGCGTTTCTTGCACCCTCATTATTGCCCGGCGCTATTCCTCCGCAATGCGCAAATTGTCCGCTGCCGAGGCGCACGTCGCGATAACGTCACATAAGTCGTCACGGCTGCTGCCTTTCCTGGTTGGTCCGCGGAGCAATTCGATGCTGTGGCTGGTACCTGGTGCCGCTTTTTGCGGAATTCTTGGCTTCCATTTAAATATTTCTTTTTCATTACCTGTTGCGCTTATAAATGTGCTGTGTCTAACATTCGCCATCTATTTTGAGAATTTTTCTGACAGTTTTGCAAAACCCCAACAGCTACCATTGTTAACTAATCTGCAGTAGTACAATTGATAATCAAGTTAGATTATATTACATTTTGTAAAATAATGACGGTTCTCGAGAATGCGACAGAAAAATGGAGGAAAACAAAAATAAAGTGCTCTGTTAGTTGACTAATCTACCCAATTGTAAACGCTCAGCGGTGTTTTTTTTTTTTTTGGAATAACGAACATTTATCTTTTTTTATTTTATGTATATTGAAGCAAAACTCGTTAGCTCGGCTAACGTAATAACTCGTTAACGGCGCATTTCGAACATCGAATTGAACCATGTGGTCGAGGAGTGAATGTATGTTTCGTTAGACAACACTATTCTAAAACTTCCTTTCTTTTGTAAGACGATGTTGTTGTTCTTAGTGTATCGGTCGGAAGAAAACTTTTAGGCTTCATCAAAACATTTTTCTCAACTTGTTGCGTTCAAGATGTGCCCCTTAGATTCAAGCATATTCAATACGCGGTCCAATTCTTTGTGACAGATTCAACTACTCTCGCTTAGTTACTATTAAGAACGATAGACATATGCCAGTTACGACATTTTTTAATTACCCGTCTGTAAAATACCGCGTAATATTTCAACTGCGCTGAAGTGGGTGCCTTCATCACAAACAGTGTCATAACGATTCCATCCAGCTGTTTGTTAACCAAATACAAACCGGCAACCTTCAATTCCAAGTCTCAACTTCCTCTTAAAAGGCGAAATCGTCGGCTGACTCCCACCTCATATACGTCAGACAAAGCAGCCGTAGTCTTCGGGCTCAACATCGACCGAAACCCTGAGCACCGGGACCTCGATTCATAATTTGAATGTGCATCTTCTTAAGACAAAATGTACGCCAGGAAGAAGAGAAAAACACACTTAACCAGAGAGAAAGGAAAGCCACGAAAAAACAGTACTCACGGAGAGGGTATCCTATCTCTTACACCGCCTTGGCAGAGCTCGCAAAGTCGTTCCCGGTCGACGCGCCGTCGGCTGTATATAGCGGGAACACGTTCGCCATACAGAAGCGCATCCTCGGAGCTATTTTTCCTTCCCGAACGGATTGCGGCGATCCGTGACGTCACCGCCGACCAATAGAAACCCCGCACTGTTTTCGAAGCCAACCGCCAAACAAGATGGAGAGGAATCCGAGCTACTGCGAAAAGAATGCCGCGCTTGTGGAGAATTTTCGTTTGGCGACGTTGCGGGATCTTCGACGCCGTCCTACAGGGGGAGACCGAATAAAAAGTGAATTCGCTTCGTTCAAGGACTTTTGTAGGGCGACTTGGCGCGGCGGCGTTGTCCCGGCCTGACTTGTCCTTGCCGCCGAGCCGCCAGCCTGCGCCTGCCCAAGATCTCGACGAGTTCTGTTATCGGCAGAGGATTGAACTCGTCGAAGGTAATCCGGCGCCTAGACAAACACTACGCGGCTGCAGTTCCGTGAAAAATCGTTCTCGGCGCCGCCTGGGATAGCCTGGGTTTTAGTGTTGAGGCGGGGGATTCCGACGAACCACTTAACAGAGCGAAACGCAGGCTCCACTGAACAGCTGTTGCGTAGAAACGGCCTGCCGTGTTAGGAAAAACGAATTAACTCTAACTTTTATTTTCCTTCCCTCTTCATATTAAAATTGTGTAGCATAGTTGTCGATGAATCATTTTTTTTTTTTTTTGAGTTTATAAGAAAGCACTGAAATTTTACTTTGTTTTATGATAAAACCTCGCTCAAAACGCCGATTTATTTTATGCGTATTGTCTGGACCTCTACGTGGTATGGTTCGGGAAGTCTCAGCGGAGACAAAAGTGTTAAGAGATGTACTTCGAAGCCTCACCATCTGCTCCCCCCACCCCCTTTCCGTCCAACCTAAGGAACAGACACTGTATTTGTGTCGTAACACAATTCATGAGGTCGTGCACTGACTCAAACTGCTATATAACCGCGTAAGATTAAGTTCCTGTAAGTAAAAAAAAACACTTGTCGGGATTTATTTGATGACATTATATTGAGGTTTTCGACGACTTTACCAACATAATATATTTCAGTAGAAAGTGGGAATTCATAATTTTCGAAGGCGAACTTATCAGCCACTCCTGCAAGCAAAACCCATACTTGTGCGCTGAGATAACAGGGACGCTTCTATACGAGAAGAATCAGAGAAATACTCTTGACGCTTATTGTGCTCGTTGAAGCGCTGCCGTTCTTAATATAGCATTATATTTTACACTACAATTACGATTTAAACTCTCACCTACCCAGTGCCATGCGGAAACATTTAGTTGGGTCATAAACTGCAATATTGCGTAAATATCTGTCTTTATTCTCGGTAGAAGAAAGCATAAAAATCAGGCATCTTACTTTTTTCACGCGAATGTTTTCTGCACCCCCCAAAACAATTTTAAAAAATTGGGTTGCTTTACTGCGTAAAATATCTGTTATAAGGGTTAATAATGATTCTGCTCCTGAAATTCGAAAATATTCTAGAAACTTAAACAAATATATATTTGTTCTGGTATTGCATACAAAAAAGTATCAGCGAAGAGGCAGGGGTCTTGCGTATACAAAGTATCTGCAGTGTCGCTATGTAGTTAATCAAGAAAGAGAATGATTGCTGTAAAATGCTCAGACGTAAATGGAAAGGAGCTGAAGGAAGGAGGCGATTGCCATTTGCGTCCTCAGCGCATACTTGACGAAGACTTGCGCCTGCAGCGTAGTGCGTTCTTCTCCTCAAACGTGCCTCTCGACTGAGTGATAGAGCGTCGGCTCCTAAAAAACACACAGTTTTAGAGGAATACTTTTCCTTGGAACGCACACCACGTAATACTACCCGAACTGAAACCTATCGAACGCGAGTGCTTTATGCCGCGTGTAACTAAAAGGTATTGACAATTCCAACTAGCCGGGAAAAAAAATATAGAACCGGTAAGCAAGTGTTTTGGGAAGTACATTTGTTTCACAATTCCGCGATATCAAGGCGATGATAAAGTTGACATCTCTATAAGAGCGTATTCAGTAATACAAAATTAATAATGTTATTCCTAGAATAATTTTTAAATATAGCATAACCTTTCGCTGTGACTTTAGATGTCATTAGATTGAAGTAACTATAGTTACCATTAAATTATCAGTGTTGCCTGTTAGGCTATGTATCTTTAGATACATAGCCTAAAAACAAACTGGCAAACAAACATAAATAAGTGATGCAAAACAAAATCAAGTGTACAAAACTGGAACGCTATGCGAATATTATGGTCGGTTCACAACACTGGAATATGCAAGTGATGGCAACACTGATAATTTAATGGTAAGGCTCTCAACGGCTGTTGTCATAGCTGCGTATATAACACCCTCTTAATGCTGTGCCAATAAAAAGAAACGTTTCTACATGGAAATTATGTCGGCGATAGTTTTGTTTAGCTTTTCTGTTAGTCCATTTGTCTGCGAATGGTACGCAGAGGTTCGAAGGTGGCTAGTGCTACACAGACGAAGGATTTGTTGAGTCTTCTGAGCCATGAACGATGGTCCACGGTCTCTAATGAGGACTTCGGGGGCGCCGTGCCTGAGGACAATGGACGCAATGAAAAACTTGGCGACTTCAACAGCAGTCTTGAAGGGAGGGGTTTAGTCTCTGCTTACCGCGTGAGATAGTCCTTGGCAACGATTATCCAACGGTTTCTGAGGGTCGACGGCGGAAAAGGACCAAGCAGATCCATTCCGATCTCCTGGAACGGCGCAGTGGGCGGAGGAATTGGTTGCAGTAAAAATGTCGGCTTTATCGGTGGTTTTTCGCGTTCATGGCACTCGTGGAATAGTCGAGTGTGGAGGTGAGCGGCTTTGGGGAGCTTGGGCTAGTAATACTTTTCACGAATACGGGCCAGTCTCCGACTGTAACCAAGGTGTCCCGACGACGAACCGTCGTTCCAAAGAAGAATGTCACGAATGACAGTTGATAGGGCTGCGAAAACTGAAGAAAATTAAACGTTTAATGGGGCGAACTTGTGACCAAAATAATATAAAAAAGGGCTAGCGTCGCAAACGTCGATGGCGGCGAAACAGCAGGATCGAACGCTGCGGCGAGACTGAGAATGGCTCGACACGCGGAGTCCCTTATGTACACGAGTTGCCTTCTGGAACAATCGGCGTAGAAGGTTCGGCGCGTAGAACATCCGGACCTCGAACAAGCAACAGGATTCTTTAATTTACCAGAGCAATAAAGTGAAAGAAAGAATAAAAGACGCCTGATTGACCTCGTAAGTGATGACGTCAGAACATGGCGTCTGGGTCCAAACAAACCGGTGCTAGGGACGTTGTTATGGGCTAATAATGCATGGAGACTCCCCACGAGGCAACATTTTTGCTTATAAGGAAGTAAATAATTTTTTATAAGCAACCTAAATTTCTGATATCTAATTATAAAGATATTCTTGTCATCTCAGCGCCGTATTGCAACGATGAAAGTCATTTTTGAAGTATTCCACTCCGCTTTGCTTTGGTAGCAGACGACACGATAGATTTGCTCACCTATGTTGCAGCGGGCGTCTTCATTCAATTGCGTCGGTAAACGAGCAACACAAGCAAGTGCACCGCCATGGCCGCAGGGGCCTCCGCAATGTGCGTTTTCTTTCTGTAAAAAACCCAGCTTAGTTGAGGGGTGCGGAAATTCCGTAATATCGTGTCATCCTGATTTCAATAAGATCACAATCATGGGGAGGGGAGCAGATAAAACAGCCAGGGAAATTTTAGAAGCATATGGAATAAAGAAGGAGGGGGAACAGAACTGCGTGAGTCAAACTTCTGTGTATTTACATAAGAAGGAGATTACTTTCATGGACACGTGTTGATGCGAGTGTGTTTTTTTGTGGGTGTTTTCTTCGTTGGGTCCTTTTGAATAAATATTCAGTTGTCAGTTCAGCGCTCGTCCTGTGTACTCCTTTTCCTCCCGTCCTTGTCGTTTGCGCGCTGTTTCCATTATTTCTATCAAACCACGTCATGCAGATTAGTTACGATGGCGACCTGAAGTGCATTACCGGCGTAGTGCAGGCCAGCATGAGAAACAAGTCGTACGCCGTCGAGGTAAGTCGTTTGGTATTGTTATTGAGGTTGTCAGGTTAATAAAACATTGAATATCTATCGCAATTTCGCATTTTTTTTGTATACATTAAATTTAGTGGATGTGCTGTTTCAGTGAAGATTTCCATCGAACCCGCGATGAGAATACAATATGTAATAAACTCACCTTGTGTTCTTTATCCAGTTCTTTCACGTTTTGGGGTTTTGCGAAAATCTAAAGAAACTGCAAGAATCTTTCTCCACGCGATGGTTACAGCCAGGTACAAAGCACCCTCCCATAGCGCGAGTCAGCAAACAACATTTTGGGATCTCTACCGATGCCTGAAGTACTTTTCTCACGGGTGCATTACGATCTTTTAGCAGACGATCATTTCGATCGACGCCCGGACTTTCGATAAACCATATTTTGCATCGCACCCCACTATGAATTCTTATAAGTGTCTGGAACTCATTATATTTTGAACAAATGCAATATCAGAATATCATCTTTATTCACCCGATTCAGACGCCGGCGCCGGCTTGGCCGGCGGGCGTGTGGCAGACGGCATTCTTGTTGCATTCGTCGTCTGCTGCAGGCATCTTTTAGACCGGAAGTTGCGGTCGTAAATATTTAGAAACAAAAGATTACCGGCACAATTTTGTCGAAGCATATATGACATTCAAGCTTTCTATATCTGTGATTTGTAGAAGTTTAAATCCTACTCCCGATTTTTGAACGGTCGGGTTTTCGTAGTGAAACCTAGCCACATGCATTTGCCCATAGCAACGACCCTAGCAACGGTTTGTTTGGACCCATGACGTCACACTTACGGAGTCTAGTCCCAGGAATATAACTTTCCGCCTCCGCACCAGAGTTAAAGGGACACTGACACCCCAAAGGTCGTATTTATTTTTATTGTCTAAAACGATGCAAGTTGCAGTCATAAACACGCAAAAAAAACCGCATCGCGAAAAAAAATTTTCCCGCGCGCGCACGCGCCTTTTTATTTTT